TATATATATATATATATATATATATATATATATGGTGTGTGTGTGTGTGTGTGTGTGTCCAGCAAGTCTACTTTTGGAAATCTGAGCTATAAAAATAAACTTATAAAGATGTGTAGGCATTTGTTGCAATATTTTTGGGAGTTATCAAAAACTTGAAACAGTGTTGAATGCATATCACATGAATAAATTATAGATATCCTTACTATGGCGTATTCAGCAATTGGAAAGAGTAGAGTTCTATTTGTTGACCTGGCCTGATGTAAATGAGCAAAGAAAGTTCCAGAGGTCTGTTTATAATACAAACACTTTTGTGAAAACCACTTGTCCTCCACTAACTATGTGCAGATCTGCTGGCATGAAGGAATGTGCTCCAAGCTTTTAGTAATCAGTCACTTTGCTGTGGGAGGCATATGTTACTTTTATAGTTTTAAAATATTGATGTATACATTTTGAACTGAAATCGAACAGAGCACCAAGTTTAAAATGATGTTTCCTATTTAGATGGATGATATTTGGAAGCATAATGGAGACGTGGAAGGTGCTAAGAGATCTCAATACAGTTCGCTCAGCACCTCTGTGCAAAAACCTGACCCAGGCCAGCTTGCTTCCAGCTCCTTCAGCGAAAGAGAGGCGGCGACACTGGGAGAGAGTGTGGTGAGAGTGGCTTCTCCTACGCCCCCCTTCTCATCTCTTTCCCAGGACCAGGCTGCCACTTCTAAAGCCACCTTGTCTTCAGCATCTGGCTCCGATTTAATGTCTGAGCTTGGAGAAGGGAGAAGCTCACCACAAACAGAGATCTCAAGATCAAAGGTGAGTTTGGGAAGGTGTTTTATCATCTGCGCAGAAACATAAGTACCTGTATTTAAACAGGAAATCATGTTTTTAACCAATGTTTCTAGGCCTTACGGTCTAGGCTGATAATGTGGAATATGAGATGGCATTTTCTTTTTAACAGATCTTGGAGGAAGTAGGCCTCTTTCAACTCTGAGTTTACGGATCTAGATGACCCTTGTGGAATGGGTGTATTGAGACCATTGACCAATCTCCTTGGGGTTCAGCTGGGTTTTCTTTTTCCTCCCCATTTTGGCAGCTGTTGCCTTACACCACAAGTGCACAGTCATCCCAGATTTAGGTGTAGTAGTCACCTGGGAGGTTTCAGATGCAGGCCTGATAGATAAATGGGTAGTAAAAGCCCCTTCTCAGGGAAGTTAACAAGGAGAAATCGGTACACACGAGAGGCACTGGCCTCTAGGGACATGGCATTTCTTTCTCTCTTTCTTTCCCATATTAACTTTCTAGTGACTTTCAATACGAATGCTTTAGAAAGTCTAGAATTTTGTACTACTCCTTGTCTCTTAATGGGACTATTGAGGCTCAGTTATAGTATGACAATTGTGTTTCTTAACATTTGAAGTGCAAACAAAATATGCCATCACATGAAGAATGACTGGAGGCATTTGTAGTTTTTTTCTACTTAAAATCCCAAAAATGACTTAAGAGAATTATTAGGTAGGTAATGAGTGTTCTTTTAGTATGTTTTACATACAGGCTAAAAAGTAATTGGTTGTCTAGAGAATAGAAAGCTTTTCTCTTTTAGAAAAAACTCTATGTTATATAAGCAATTTTTTAAAAGATTTTATTGGGGAATTGGGGAAGGGAAACAGAAAAGTTGTTTTCCTTCAATCTTAGTTGTGGAGGGCGCAGCTAGCTCAGTTCCAAGTCCAGCCGTCATCCAGCCACCTGTTGGCAGCTCACAGCCACTCAGCTCAAGATGCCGTGTTCAATCTTAGTTGTTGGTGGGCATAGCCCACCATCCCATGTGGGAGTCGAACCAGCAACCTTGTTGTTAGGAGCACATGCTCTCACCAGCTGAGCCATCTGTTGGCAGCTCAGCTTGGGCGCAGCTCATTGGCCCATGTGGGAATTGAACCGGCGATCCTGTTGCTCAGAGCTCACACTCTTAACCAACTGAGCCACTCAGCCAGCCTGTTATAAGCAATTTAATGTATGAACCCCTTAGCATGGAGGAACTTTTGTTGTTCTTTGGCCTGGTCTAGATTTCTGTGGTTCCTTCCTAGAGTATATTTGTTTTCAAAGGTATAATATAAGGTATATAACTTGGACTAAGTTATATTAATGAAGTAACTTTAAGTGAAATAATTTGATATAAGTTATTTAGTATTATTAAATTTTTATTAGTATAGTAAATCTTTACCACTTGAGAGTAAGCTTTTTTCCCCCAATTATAAAGTACTATGTGCCTGAGAAATTTGAAAATGCAGAGAAGTATACATAAAAAACTGGTAATCCCATCATTTAGGGATAACCTTTGTTAACATTTAGGTATATTTCTTTGAGTTTTTCCCATGTATGTTTATGAACATAGTTCTAAAACCAATTTTTGTCGCTTGCTAGAGTCATTACTTGTAACTCTTTTTTGCTTCATTGTTAAAGAATTGGAAAGACATAATTAGCATTGTAAGAGTCAATGGATGAGAATAATAGCGTATGTTATACTTGGGGAACATATGGTACTAGTGGATGAATAATAGAAACAGAAGCAAGGGTCTTTTGTTTTATGGATTTGTGTATTTGCCTTCACCTTTTCAAAGAGCAAACCTAACAAAATAGACTGATTAATGTCTCGTGTGCTAGACGGAGGTAACTCCCTCAGGGTGACAGTTGACTAAATGCATCCACGGATTAAGAAAAAGAGGCTACATGTGGTGGGTGGGTGTGTACCAGGATATTGGCAGTTCAGAGGAACCCGAATTAACAGGGCATGGTTTCAGGTTTCACCCTTAAGGGATTTATGCTGCTTTGTCACTGAACTTGAAATGGTATTCTACCAAGCCAAATTAGGCCTTATTTAACAAGGGTGGAGAGATTGGAATTCTTGAACGTATGTATGTGTCATATGGCAACTTGCCTGTCCCTGAGATGCTTGGTGTGTCTACTTCTGCACTTTGAGCAAAGTGGCTTATGTAGCATTCTCTCACTCTTTGCATTGACAAGGAGCTCACTGAGTTGGAAAAGGCCTGTGAAGGCACAAAACAGGATGACGAATAGGTCAAGGGCATATGCCACATTCCTCCAAACTTTTGTACAGACTATAATTCTGGGAGTTCAGAGGATAGAAAAAAATCAAAAATAGTGTGTGGCTAAACACCTAGATGTCTTGCTAGTTTTATAAGTGTTCTTCAGGTCTTCTTTCTCTTTCTTACTTCACACTTTTGCTGGTAATGTCCTTTTATTTCTTCCTTCAGAATTCTCCTTGATCTTATACTTCTCTCTTCCTGCTTCAGTGGACATTCAGGCCCTTTCCCCGTCAATGCAGATACTTTGTAAATAGTCACATGGGTTGGTGCATTCTACAAAGGCTGTCCTCAGGTTAACCTGAGTGACGCCAGGCTGGCCTCATAATTTCTCTGCTCTAAAGCCCCCCAGTGGCACTCTGTGGTGTGTGCAGTTAAGTTCGCAGCACTCAGGGGAGACTGAGGTCTCTCATCACTGCTCCCAAAGCCCCTTTGTAGTGCTGTAACAGCTGTTTATTGAGTGCTTACCAGATGCCAACCAGGCATCTCAGGGCATTATCTTAGTCCTCAGGGACCCTTGTATCACCGTTTTATAGTTGTGGAAATTGAGGCATGGAGTGGTCATGTTACTTGTCCAAGGCCAACCAGGTACTGAGTGGTGGAGTCAGGACTTGAACCCAGGAGGTTTGACTCATGGCTTGGCCCCATCACACTGTGTTATAGCAAAGAGATGGGGGGGTAGATAGATGACCTAGCCACGTGAGACTGATTGCTTTTTCTTGAACACATACTTTCTTGACCGTATCATAAATATTTATTTTTGTTGTTACCCCATTTGAAAATGTTCATTCACCCACCTCTGTCTTTTGAAGTCCTCCTGTTCTTTCAAAGACCAAAAGGGTCATCTCCTTGGTGAATCAAAATACCTCTTTCCCGTCATTAGAATTGAACTTTTCACCCTTGATAGCTTCATTTGCCAAATTCTTCCTTGTTCCATATGTTTATTGTGTCCCCTCCCCTGTATTCTTTGTATCCTCCACAGCTTTTACACATAGTTAGCCCTGATGCATTTTCTCCCCTACTTACCTTTTTATGATGCCCCGTCGCCTGCTTCCCTTGCCAGTCCAGGCTCCTCGGGAAATTCTGGGGGTGACCCTGAGCAAGTGGAGAGAATATGACTCTTGGAATCCTTCATCCTCTCCTAACTGACTCATATGTGGCTTTTATGATTTCCCCCCAAATTGGCCTTGCCTACAGGTGTTCATTTTATTTTGTCCTGTCAGCACCCTCTCCTCAAATCTCATCCATATCCACATGTTGGAATCTCCGCCCCAGATTTTTTAAAGCAGTACCCAGATGTAGGATGATACATGTGGAAGGAAGGAAGCTTTTTACATGTCCGTTTCTTGGTCTCCAAGCCTGTGTATGATAAATGCCATTTTTAAGCGCCCAGGACTTATCTTGTCATAGCGTCTTACTGTGCATTTTACTTGCTTGTCACCTTCACTAGATCTGACTTTGGTTGAAGGTAGGAAGCAAGCCCATCTTGCTCACTGTTAGCGCAGTGCTTGGATCTGTATTTGTTGAATGCTCAGTTCTATTGGCTCGAGAACTGTGTATGTGAGCATTAAAGAGGATTTTCTTTAGTTGGTCTAGAACTGCTTAACCAACCTGTATATAATGTATAACATTGTTTCCATGAGAAAAAGAAGGTTATTACTAGGCATCAACCAGTTACCTTGGCATCTTTTAAGTCTTACATTTATTCCTTTCTATAACCTTGCAAAGTAGGTGGTATTATTCCTGTTTTCACCCATGAAATACTTGAGATTTGAAATTCATGTGACATGCTCTAGGCCAGTTACATGATGAAGCCACAATTGTAATTGCTCTGACCTTAATGTTTTTAAAAAATGACATACTCAAATTTCAGAACTGCCTTGAGTAAAAACACCAAATGTTGACTTATTTTAACTTTGCTGTGTCTTTAGAGTTTTAGAGCCAACAGGAACTGAAATATCTTCTGGTTCATAAAGACAAAATCATTCTTAAGATCGTTTTGAGGAAATATTTATTGAAACCTATCAGAACTGAATCTATTTCTGAAATGTAGAGTTTGAAATCTACCCAGTTAGGCAGTAAGGAGCGAGTAACAATTTTAAAACAGGGTGTGATGTAATAATTGGCATGTGCTGTAACTAAAGTTCTGGCAGCTGTATTGAAAATGGAGGCCAAGAAGGTCCGGAGGCCTGAGAGCCAGTTGGGAGGGGGCCGCAGTAGTTTGTGGAGGAGACCATAGCCAAACTAAGATAACCTGAGGAAGATGGAGCAATGGGTGTTTCCAGATGGATTTATGGATTGTGAACTTGAGAACACGATTGAAAGCATGTGTGTGGTGGAGAGTGGGGGTGGGGAGCAGTTAGGGGAAGAAAAGAGGAAGAGACCCAGAAAAAGAACCTGGTGTTTCTGACTTAGGCATTTGGTCACATAGTGATGTAATTAACCAGTACATGAAAAACAAGAGGTGGAAAAGCAGGTCTGGGGAGGAAGGTAATGAATTTAGTTTTGGATGTGCTGGGCTTACATATGTTGGGTGTACATTCGAGGTGTGATTGAAAACATACAGTGAATGTTTAAATTAAAAAGATCATTACAGTAAAAGACACATTGCCATTAATCACCCCCCACCCCCAAATATATGGCGATAGAAGGAGAACTGACTCTGGGTGGTGAACACACAATGTGATATATAGATGATGGATTACAGAATTGTAC